TGTCGTGAAGCAGCATGACATTAGCATTATTACACCTTCCACCCTCTAACGGTCGCGTTTTTTCTGTCATCATCCTCCAGGGCCCGAGAGTTTTATTAATAAAATTTTGTGTGAAACGTAACACGGCTTGAATAAAAAAACGCAAACATGCAAAAAATCTTTTTGCGTTATTGGTGTTGTTGGGCGAAGAAATTTAATATGCGACTTCATAAATTCGTGTACCTAGCGCACGCGAGTGCGAACAAATTGCTTACAAATTCCCATTCATATTTCTTCTTTTTGTGTATTTTTTGTGGGTTTGGTTGATTTTTTCTGTTGTCATGAGCAAACGTTAAAAAGCTCCTGCATCCGCTTTTTCTATTGTTTTTATTTCGTAAAAAACGTCAAAAACCTAGTTTGCAAACGAATAACGAACAAGAAAAGAAAAAGTGCAACAACGAGCGTGACACACAATGGAGCGAAAAGAATTTTTGTACTCTACGGAATCAATAATTAATTAGTCCCGCTGTGCCAAGTTTCCAGCAAACTGATCCTGACAGGACTAATGAAATATTTCACAAATTTAACCAAAACTCATTAATTTTTCAAAGTTTTAAAGAATTCATATTAAAAACTTAGGTTCACTTAATCATAATTAGAATTGTCAAAAAAATCGACAAAAAATTATTTCTATGAAAAAAAAATCTATTCAGTTCTTCAAATCAAATCTTTTATTAGCCGTTTTCAATTAAATTTATTAAGTGTGTTATAAAGTGGGTGAAAAATTTTATAGTTTGGATATTTAATAAATAGAATGTTCCTAATTTTTATTTTTTATTTTATTTTTCACTTTCCTTGCTTTCTTCCAGTTAACACTCCGCTCGAAGTGTTACATAATGAGGTCAGGTAGTTCGAGCTAACGTGCGATATCCATCGAAAATAACGAGTTATTGATTACCATACCACGTCGTGTTTATATGCGTTCTTTACCCAAAGCATACACGAATCGGACCACCTAGCGTCGTCGTCGAATGAGAAAATCACGTAACAGAGTTATCGCAAGTTACCTCAAGTTACCGTCAGCAATCTTTACATTACTTTGGCAGGAAATAACCTTATGCTTGTATAGTATGTTTTGTTGCTCTAGCAAAAATAAAAAGTTTCAGAGTTTATTTTGTTTTGAAAATACACACAGGTAAACAGTTATGTGGAGGTGCCGGGCATTTAAAACTTAGGATATAATAAAATATATGCGCAGTTAAACATTAACATTAATATTATTATAAAAATAGTGACGAAAAGAAACAACCTGCATTTCTAAAAGCAACAACGTCAAAACTGATCAAAAAATGTCCTTGAGAATATGTTCATAAATTCAACGGAATCCGGGTCCAACAACCTAATCATCTGTGTGCCTTCGTATATTGTTCGTCATTTATTCGTATTTTTATGCGGGGAGATAAACGCCGGAAGCGCACAGCGGCAATCAAATCATTTTATGGCATCAAGCGGCCGTAAAACAAGGATTACGCTTTCCGGCCGCTTTAATCCGTTATTATTACGTTATAATATTATTGCGCGTTGTTGTGGTCTCTGATTTTTAGTGCTTTTCCTAATGTGATTTGAAGTCAAACTAGAAATTGTATTTTATTATTGTCATCAAATAAATATATTTTTTCCAATTAATTGAGAAAAGTCAACAATATACAGTTTTGACGTTATTTTCAATTCCTAACTGAAATTAATTTGTTCTTGACAAATGTAATTAATAGTAAACAATTCGTTTTTGACGTACAGTGTAAACTGATAATGTGAAGGATGGAATACACCGCACATATTCAATAAATCCAGGTAATAAATTAATCAAATGAATCGGTAGCGCAGAAGAGCGCTCCCAATCGTCGTTTTGCTCCAACAACTCATTATATTAATGGACTTGCCTGCCGTGTGCAGATATCAACAGTTTGGGATGCGGGCATCGAATTATAACAATAAATACCTTCATTTATGCATGATGTTTATTAATTTCAACGTACCAAAAAACTTTATAGTTGAATTTAAAATAGATGTAGGTATATTTATAAACAACAATTTTAAAATTTATTATTTTTAGCATGAAAACTTATTCTGAATAATTATTATTTTCTATTTTGTGAATTAATTCTACGTTTTGTGATATCCTATAATTTTCACTCCGGCTGAGTGCGACAAATTGGAATAAATGGGTTTTCCCTGTTGATTTTCACCATTAATCAAGTCAAATCCTTCTTGGTGCAACGAGAAAATATATCTTGAAATAAATGACACATTATATAAATCTTTTTAAAATATACTTATTACATTCAAAACATTTCTCATTTTTTATTTTACTTGTGATTAATATAGTGAAATGTATAATCATTTATTTAAATAATAAACTATTTAAAGATAAATTGTGCAAATTTGCAGTAACGCAATGAAAGCATTAACCATTTACCAAGTAAAAAAGAAGCAAAAACACTAGATACTATCTCTGCATGCAATAGATGTTACTGAATGGTGGTAGATCCCGGATGTTCATAAATGATAAAAAGAAGATAGAACAAGAAGCACCAACCAAATGCATACTGTAAACGTGAGCGGGTAGAATTTGCGCGTAACGGCGGCTGCATCCATAAAAGATAAAAAACGCAAGCCCAGGAAACCCCAATCGCCCGACTGCCACGAGCAACTAAAGTGGCCAGCGCATCCAACAAAGTGTATTTTTCTTGGAGTTAAGTTGAGTTTGGTCGAGAAAAACAGCGAGAGGAGTTTTTTTGTGACTAGCGTTGAATGCTGTGCGGTTTTATGGTCGCATCATTATTTAAAACACTTGGTTGGATAATGATGGCGGCAAGAGGCACGTCATTAATCACATAGTTTATGTAGGTTTGTACAGAGACATTTTAGACGCGCGAAACCAAAACTAAATTGGATTTGCAAACAACAGAAAATTGAAAATTTCAAAACTTTTTAAGCTGAAAATAAATGATTTCTAAAATTTGATTTATTTTTTGATAGTCGGGTTTTTTTCAACTGATTTATCATTTTTTATATTTTACAAAAAATACAATTTTGTTTATCTTCAAACATTTTTTTGTACGTTTTCTATCGATTTGTTGTATTTGGTTGGCAAATACTTGGGCCAAAGGTCGGACAACGTATATATCTCTATAATCGAACAATTTGTCCGTCCGTCGGAATTACCCCAAGCACGAAAGCGCGCCGAACGACCGCAACCACCGCGCCGCCGGCATTCGCCTAAATCGCCAGTCGCCTCCACCCGGAATGGTAACAGAAGCCAAAAACTATCCATCTATTCATTCCATAGAAGTCGCTGGATCGAGCGCCAAACTCAAGACGAAAGACACTCCGGATAAGGGATTGAAATTGTTGGCACGCTATTAGTTCATGGGCGGGTTGGCTCGCCAAACTCAAATAGACAAAATTTATTTTATCTTTTAACATAACCAAGTGATATGTCTAGGTTGGGCGTACTATAAATCATAGTAATATACTTTTATACGTACATTTATTATTGACTTACGTAACAAAAGAATGAAAATCCTGTGTTTTACAATAAAAATTTAATACGAACACAATAGGAAATATTAAAACAAAAGGCTTTTTATTTTATTTTGATGGCATTAAAAATTTGTGGTATAAATGTGCAAATATTTTATGATTAAAAGTGGCTTATCCCAAAACATAATGCTAATAAAAATATATTTTTTGAAGTATTATACCCACATCTGTAAAACTCCATGCCCTTTGGCGCATATAAAAGTACAATGAAACGGGAGACGCAAAAAAAGTGTGAAACGTCTAATCCGTCGCCATTCGTTGCGTTTTGTCTGAGTCGCATCGCTTCGGGCGGAGAGGCTTGAATTTGCGGGCAAGCGCTTCAGCAGAGAGCAAATGTAATAAAAACATGATAAAAAATGATGAAATATGAAAACAACGGTGGCTGTAAAATCGTAAAACCGAAATAAAATGACAGGATTTCGAAAATAAAAATCAATCTTTTTGGCTCAAAAAAAGAGAGAATAAATCCACTTACAAAACGGAAATTGACATAATATTAAAATATTTAATAATATGGGACTCCAATAAAATTTTTTAATATTTTACTCTTTTTTTTCAAGCGGTTAAAATAAAAATTGCATGCTCATAACTAATCTTCTTTACGAACGTAACTTAAAAACCTTCCGGATATAAATTTCCAACCCCAACTAAGATTGCGATAGCACCTCGGATAGAAAAGCTGAGATCTATTGAAACACTCCCTGGAGACCGATAAAGCCAGATTTTCACGCTCTAGCTTCAGCATCGACAACGCCAAGCGCATCTTCCATAATTCTTTGTTCGCGAATTTCTTCCCATTCCCCTTTTGCATTTCAAAACAAACATCTCTTTATTTTTCCGGTGATTTTTGGCCTCAAATGTATTTTTATTAAACGGGCCGCTAACAACGCGGAGGAAGTAAATTCAATGTTATAACGATGTTTTTTTATCTTCAACGATCTTTCGGGCGCTGTATTTTCCGTGCTACGTGACAAATTCGAAACGAGTTCACGTGTGGATGAGCACAACGACGACATAATTTCCGGGCATCTCATACATATTGAGTAAAGCACATTGCGAATGTATTAAGAACTAGATACGAAAAAGAAAATTTCGTTGGATATGTGCGATCGGGTCGACGAAAACAAAGATGACTTTATTTTTAGCCTACACAACAGAAAATTTGCATCGCCGCTGTTAATTAAGTAAGAAACTTTTAATTTTATTGTAGCAGTAGAAAAATATTAATTTAAAGTTTTGACACCTTTTTAATTAATGTAATAACAAACAAATGACTAACAAGACGCGGTATAAAAGTAGAACATTTTGATTATAGAAATAACGCAATAAATAAATTTAAGTGTTATTGATTCTCTATATTCAGTACTGCATTAGTATGAATATTTAAGAAGGAAAAATACGTTCAAATCGATATTCACCTGCGAGTACAGAGTGAAAGTTGTCCCATGTTAGTTCATACACTTTGCAAACTCCGCACGATTACACGCACAATTTGTTTAAACTCGGAACACACATTTCACATGAAGACATCTTCTAACTAAAGTTTTATTAAGACAGTTTTCAAATGGGGTTTTGATTCCTCTCTGTTATACACATTTACTTAGGTAACTAAACTTGATTATTGAATTTACCACTATTTGAATACATAGTTTCTACGATTGAAATTGTATCGAGGTTTTTGTTTGTATGTCGTAAATTATTAAACTAATCTATTTACAAAGTTCGTTTGTAAATGATTGCGTCCATATGGTCGCGCACGGTTAATATGCTCACAATAATGTGATCGCTTTCACGGCCGAGTTGACGTCCGTCGCAGGCGTCGTTTGTTGCCGTCGCCGCCGCCGGTGTTAGCGAGCGCGTGCCGTCCGTCGAGTGGCGTGGCGTCGAGCGCGTGCGATTGCATCGAGGCGACGTGCGGGACTGGCATGAGACTAACCCTGCCGCCGGCGGCGTCCTTGCCGCCACCAGCCAACAATTCCACCGCCGCCGGCGCCCGACGTTGTCACCTGACGCTCGCTATTCGCCGTTTGTCGCTGCCATCAGACAGACAGCGGGACGCCTTGCACTTTAACATAATTTATTTTCATAAAAAATAAGCACACATGATGAAATATTTAACAAGTAAACACAAATACACAATAGGTACATCTTTTAAATGTATTTTTTATTAAATTACATTTACTTTACTCACATCATATTCGAGTATATGTGTCAGTGTAGTCAGATAATATTAACGTATATACCAGTTTAATTATTACGTTCTGTATTAGAACCGATGGAGAAATTAATAATTTAGTGCATAACGATTTTCTGGTATCCTAGCTAACTAAAAACTACTTTAATTAAAGTTGCAACTCTAAAATTCTTTTCAAAGTTTTGTATTAGATGCAGTTTTTCTTGTTCATGTGTATCTTTTTTAGTTTCTAGTTTCTGAGTTAATTCTTAAGTGTTGCCATTAGTCTTATTAAGTAAAAGGTTGTGCAAATAATGTAATTAAATAGCCCTCTTCACAATGATGTTATTAATTCTTAATTACCGTAACTGGCATTTAATGAATTGTGAGGAGCCTCCAACAAACTGTTATTATTATTATTATTATTATTAATTAGGTATATTTTTATTAATATCATTGTTGATGGTCACTATCAAAATAATTTTATTAATGGCATAATCACCATAAAAATAAAAAGTTAATTGCTCGTTGCCAAAAGGCATGTATTGCTTGAGTATTTTTTTTTTTGTTAAGTGACGGAGTCGAGATTGCAGAATTTCGTTGCAAAATTCCTAAACTAGAATTTATTTGCAAAATGTACAACATTTCTTTGCACCTGAATATCAATCACATGCTGTATTAAATTCGCCTTATGCACATTGTCGTAGTCAAGGAAATCGAAATAAAGTTATTCACATAGTTTATAATCTCATTCACAGCAAATTCTAACTGCGCCACCTATGGTCAATTGATCGAAACTAGAGTTTAAGTTACAATAGCCGCGTATCGACAACGCGTCGATGTATACTTTTAATCGCAAATAACTTTTACAGGAATGTTTTTATGGAAAAAACCAAAGAGATCTTTTTTGTAGAGGGTAAAATTTTGCATTAGAATATGTCTTTGTCGAAGCTGTAGGTTCATTTACTTTGGAGATAAAAAATTAAATGTAAAACGTCAGGAAATCCCATGTTATTTAAATGGAAAAAGTATCATGATTCCGGCACGGTTTAAATTGAGAATTAAGAGCTAATTTACGTTTGATCATTTATTTTAGAGCAAAAACTAAAACTTCAGAGGGCGGCAACAAAAAAAAAATCAATGTGGGAAATAACGGACACCCTAGTATACAGTTTTATACGCTTTTGGATATTTCAAGCAAAGTATTCATGAAAAATTCCTGTAAAACTTTACAAAAAGTTAAGTAAACACTTACTGTACGCTATACCCTCACAATATCGTTGTAAAAGCGATATATTACTAAATATTTTTACAATAACTTTCTATTTTACATTGTTCATAGCTCTATTCTTGAGAGGTTAAAACGGTACATATGCTATAATAAATAGTTTTCTATAAAAACATACGCAAACATTCAGAGTAAAGGGTATTAACGTCATCCCCTATATTACTTTTACCAGAGGGCTATAGATGGCGGTATTCAGTGTTTATAGAATTCTTCTGCGTTTCCACAAACAGAATCAATAATATGTAAGTATGCTTCACAATGTTTCCTAGCCCTTATTTTGAAGAAAAAGTTCAACTAGTATTCACTAGGCATATTTCTCTTAGTAATGTTGAATAGGAATTTTAGACACATAATATTCATGAAATGCTAATGATATCTAAGCAATAATAGTTTTAAAAATTTAAATCTATTCTTAATATTTATTTTTTCTAAATATTCTAATAAATGAGTAGTATATTTTACGAATATATTTTGTTAAGAAAACAAAAGATTATTACGATTCAATGTAAGTTAATTATTTAATTTGTAACGAAATACTTTTATTGCATTTACAATTTACATGTATATATTAGTTTTTCAAAGCATTACACGTACACTTTAAGCACAGCCTCAATTTACCTGGGGAAAAACGGTAGCCCATTTTGTTCGAAATTTGCCTGCCTAATGTGTCTCTCGAACACTCGACCGCTTAGTGTTTTTGCGGCAGCGCTTAATGCAAAACAACATTCATCATCTATTTGTCAGACGCGGAGCTTATTGTGAAATACGACGAGGGTTTCCTAGCACCTGATTCGCGCACATATCTCATAACTTTGAGTGCGAGCGAGTTTATCTCTTTCGTCCCGAACCCTGGAGGACATTAGGACCCAGTGCATTTTTCTCCATAGCATCCCGTGCAAGTTGTGGACGCACGCGAGCTAAATCTAGAAAAATCCTTAAATCTGTTACCGGACACACGCGAATACCACGAGAACATAAAAACATAGAAATATAACACAAGGCGCAGGCCACACAGGACGATTTATGCTCCAAAGAGGTCTTTATCCTTTTGTGTTTTTCTTTCCGGGATGGATCACCAAAGGATCAAGTGTGGCTCACTTGAGGAGATAAAGAAACAAGTGTTTTGCAAAAATTCTGTTAGAGATTTATGCAGCATAACAAAAAAGACATTTATATTCTTGTTAATATATGCATAACCGCACTTTTAATAAATATATTTAATTACTTTCTGTCACGAGTTGTTACTTTTGCGAAACGCGCTTTAATATTGTTTATTGTTTTGTTCATGAAACGTAATCACCTTTTACTACAAAATATTAATTTTCGACCTGAGCCACGTTGAATAATTTGATAAATGCACAAATTCGATTCCAAAAATGCGCACGGCCGCTCGTTGATTGAATATTGCAGCGTGCCAACCGATTAATTATTTCCGCTAAATTCGCAGCACAGTACGCGGAATTATTAACTCCAGCTTTACGTGTAGTTAATTTACGAACGCACCCGCGTCATTCTGTCATGGTTGCAACCAAATATTGAGCTTGCATCCGCTGCTAATTAGGTGCTTTTAAAAAAAAAGATAAAATTAAAATCACCTTCGGTAATATCATTTCCGTCAATTGTTCTGAATTGATTAATAAGCTAAATTAAAAAGTTATTTCCAAAGAAGAAATTATATTATACTTCTACATTTTAAAGAAGTAAAAAAAGTTCTTCAATTACAATATTGAATAATCATAATTGGATCTTCAGCCATGTCCATCAGTGAAAATGCCACACATACGAGTAGTTGAAAATCACGATTGTGACAAATTGCAAACGGCAAACTAAATTATGAAAACTTAATTTTAAATTTGAAATTCAAAATGCTCGCATGCATTTTCAGCGCAACCCTTTCGTCCTACGCTTATTTACCGCCCGCGCATAGCGTGCTAGCTCTCTTCGGCGCATTGGTGTCCCCTCGTCGTCGCATCAATTTAAATACTCTAGCAGGCACGCGCGTTTGTCGTTTGATTTGCTTGATACGTTGATACCCTTGGCAATTAATGCTGCCTGGATGTGGACGGGGATGCTAGCGTACGTGTAATAAAGCGCAGCGCGCCAATCGGAACAGCGTCGCGCTCGTTCCGCGCTCTAAATTAAACAACGCCTAATTTTGGCGCGTCTCTTTCCATCCGGAGGGCGCTAAATTAAGTTTTAAATTTTTAAAAATCCAATTTTAATGTTTTGATTATTATCGTTCACTAAAAAACGAAAGTGCGCGTTGGAAATATGCGTTGATGTGTTTTTACAAAATAAATCTGCTTTATGTGGAACGCAAAAGTTGTAGCACAAAATAAATTCTAAAATTAAATAATAAACGTTGACAGGTTTATTTTTAAACTAATTTTACAACAGTTTTTTTATTTGTATAATACAGTTTATAATTATTTTAAAAATAACTACTGTGTATGTTTGATTCACATTTACATAATTTAATATTAAGCTTGATTTATCATCCATAAGTAACACATTTTGTTAACGTTTAATATTGAACATCACAGAACTGAGCTAAAACTTTGCCACGCACCGTGCATTAAACACAATTAATAATAAACTAAATCGAATAAGCGAGAGTTCGCCCTCGGTGGAGTGCGCGAGACGGAAATGCTTTCAGCGATGCTTTCAGCCATGCGTTTTTTCATCGCGACGCTGAGAACAAAATTAAATCTGGCGTAGCAAGAATTTTCACCGGCCGGCAAACGGGCATCAAGAGCATGATGAACTAATTTATTAATTCACTTCTAAAGCATTTTTACCTGCGCATATACAGAGTAAAAATTGAAATATGCATTATACGTAACATAATAAACATCATCTATAGCATATAAAAATATTCATAAATAAAACTAAAACATATTACATAAAAATTATTCTTCTTTTATTTACTTTGTATTTTAAACAAAAATTTAAAACACTTTGTAGGTTAATTTGTTTTCAATTCGAAGCAAATTAAAACGTTATTGATTAATTAAAATTTAAGTGCATTCGAAGAACCATTTCAACTGTTGGTTGATTGGATGTTAGAGTGGTGTTGAATATTGTAAGGTAACCCGACAGCAAATTGTTGTGCACCAACATTTTATAAAACGTAGTTGCGTAGTTTATATGCATTGTGCGAAAATATTAATGGAAATATTTTCTATGCAATTTCATGAATATTATAACTTCTGTAAAATATTACGAAATGATGTGTTATATTGCAAAACATGATAAAACAGGTGGAGAATAATTAACGGACGATTGGACTAAATTTCACATACCAACCCATTCAACATGTGTTTTAATTTTATTTGTTTCTGTGCAATAATAAATAAATTATTCTTAAATGTATATAACATCTAAAAATAATACGATTCGTAACTCAATTACTCAAATATTAATTCAGATTGGTGGCGTTTTTAATT